TCGATGCAGTGCCTCATGGCTTCCAACTTCGCGGAGGGACATGCCTTTTCTCGCAGCCTCCTAGTGGCACACGAGGGCGCACTGGTCGCTATCGACTGGCAGCCGGGCAGCCGCCGGGCAGCCAAACGCTTCTGAATTCCAGTGCTCCAGGAAGTCCTTGCCTCTGTCAAAGATGCACAACAGACATGACATGTTGTGGTTTTTGGAGGTTTCTTCCACTCCTGACGCCAGTTCTCAGGGCATTTCAGTCTGCCCACATGAAGGTGACGTACGGCGAGCGTTTGCCATGGGGCAAGACATGCAGCGCTGTGTACTGTTTGGCTGCTGGCTGTCCAAGAGAAGCTCCATCTGTACAAGGGCCGTGCCGAACGAAGCATTGTGCTCTTTCGGACACGCTGGCCGCGTCGTAGGCAGACGGAATCGTGGACCCTCTCCTGCCTCCCGCAGAGTTGCTCCCTGGAGGCTGAGGAGCGCCCGCAATAGGTGGCCGTTGCTCATCTTCGCAAGAGCAAGCTCAAGACGCCCCGCAGCTGGTACCGGAATCGTGCTTCCGTTGGGCATAGGCCACAGGATGGGGCAAAGCTGTCAGCTTCCCGCATTGCCACCTTTGCCTGCAATTCACAATCTGGCTTGAAGGCTGCACATCACGAGTTTGACATGTTCTTGAGCACTCCAGCAACGCTGGAGCAGACGACACGGGCTGTTTTCGGTGCCTCACGTGGCGTGCCAATCTACAAGACTTGATATGGCAAGCTTGCGCTTTGCCCTTCAATTCGCCAGTGTGCGCTCACGTGACACGGAAGACGAGCTGATGAGGTGTGCCAGAATCGAATGCAGTAGCTTTTGTTTCTTGCTGGTTCCTCTAGTTTCAAAGACAGGGCTTCGGGACCAAGGTTTCATCTGCAGCCCAGCGAGCCTGTTTCTCTATGTTCTTCCTCTCAAGTCTTTGCATTTATCTAGTGTGCCTCGCACCCGCGACGGTCAGGCCTCAACTCCCAGACCCTATCCTACTTGATTCAAGGGCGTCTTTCCTCATTGCACCAGCATGATGCCGGGCGAACGTTCCAGATAAGCTTCGCCCATTGCAATTGATACCTGGAAAAAGCTTTCTCCCCTACGCATGGCAGCTTCAGCGCCTGCCCCATGAAGCCGATAAGAGCAAGCTGACAGACGCGGCACTGCTAGCCTTCGCTCTAGCAGAGCTGGCAGAACAGGTGCCAAGCCGTCCAGCCGTATCATTCAGCCGCAAAGAAGGAGGAGCATGATGCCTTGGAAGAAGTTTGTCACGACTTGTGTCGGTCACCTTCGATACGTCGCTCGGGATTTGCGAAATCCCCGGCCATCCCATGCATGCTCGGTAACCAAAGGATGTGCAGTATTGCGGGGTTGCTCTTTCAGACTAGGCAGACGGAATCGTGGACCCTCTCCTGCCTCCCGCAGAGTTGCTCCCTGGAGGCTGAGGAGCGCCCGCAATAGGTGGCCGTTGCTCATCTTCGCAAGAGCAAGCTCAAGACGCCCCGCAGCTGACATCCTACCGGAATCGTGTTTCCGTTGGGCATAGGCCACAGGATGGGGCAAAGCTGTCAGCTTCCCGCATTGCCACCTTTGCCTGCAATTCACAATCTGGCTTGAAGGCTGCACATCACGAGTTTGACATGTTCTTGAGCACTCCAGCAACGCTGGAGCAGACGACACGGGCTGTTTTCGGTGCCTCACGTGGCGTGCCAATCTACAAGACTTGATATGGCAAGCTTGCGCTTTGCCCTTCAATTCGCCAGTGTGCGCTCACGTGACACGGAAGACGAGCTGATGAGGTGTGCCAGAATCGAATGCAGTAGCTTTTGTTTCTTGCTGGTTCCTCTAGTTTCAAAGACAGGGCTTCGGGACCAAGGTTTCATCTGCAGCCCAGCGGGCCTGTTTCTCTATGTTCTTCCTCTCAAGTCTTTGCATTTATCTAGTGTGCCTCGCACCCGCGACGGTCAGGCCTCAACTCCCAGACCCTATCCTACTTGATTCAAGGGCGTCTTTCCTCATTGCACCAGCATGATGCCGGGCGAACGTTCCAGATAAGCTTCGCCCATTGCAATTGATACCTGGAAAAAGCTTTCTCCCCTACGCATGGCAGCTTCAGCGCCTGCCCCATGAAGCCGATAAGAGCAAGCTGACAGACGCGGCACTGCTAGCCTTCGCTCTAGCAGAGCTGGCAGAACAGGTGCCAAGCCGTCCAGCCGTATCATTCAGCCGCAAAGAAGGAGGAGCATGATGCCTTGGAAGAAGTTTGTCACGACTTGTGTCGGTCACCTTCGATACGTCGCTCGGGATTTGCGAAATCCCCGGCCATCCCATGCATGCTCGGTAACCAAAGGATGTGCAGTATTGCGGGGTTGCTCTTTCAGACTAGGCAGACGGAATCGTGGACCCTCTCCTGCCTCCCGCAGAGTTGCTCCCTGGAGGCTGAGGAGCGCCCGCAATAGGTGGCCGTTGCTCATCTTCGCAAGAGCAAGGCCAAAGGCTAGTGCCTGCACTATGAAAACTAACGTAAAGATGCATGAGCTGGACATGCAGCGATGCCAATGCCTGCATGTTGCAGCTCTTAGTCGGCACGACCAGCAGCAGCTTGCGATGAGTTCGCCCATGCGACTCTTCTACGATTCAGCCGTGGTGGCAGCCGTACCGCTGATGCACAGGCTTCGCTCCGCCCAGCCTCTGCGTGTCCCTACTCGAGACAGGGCTATACACAGGTCTGTCTGCAACCGTATGTTCCTCGAGGCCCGCTGCGCGAGCAGAAGGCTGCCCGGGTCGTTTCGGAATCGGCCGGTCCCGACCAGCCCTTCTCGCGAGGAACGTCATGGGAGCCTTCATGCTGAAAACTGTTTTAATGGCAGCTGCAGGCTTGTCAGCCGGCTTCTGAGGGTCACGGCCAGAAGCTGCGAGGCCCAGGCGTGCGTCCTCAGCGCAAGTGCTGCCGTCAGCCCAGCCACGCTGTTTCGTGTTGCTTGGAGGCTTCGCCGTGCGGAAGTCTGAAGCCACACTGAGCGTTGGCACAGTGTTGCCCTGCACGCGATCGATTTGCGGTGCTGCGTGTCTCCACGTGTCCGGACGCTGGCCGTCGCCGCAGTCTCGTCTTTCCTCCTTCTACATGCATGTGGTTTGACGCCGCTCCAACTCCAGCACGTTGCCGCAGCTTTGTCTTGCGAGGGGCGGCCTGTAGGGGATCTGAGCATTCTTAGTAGGTGAACATGATCGGTGCCGGAAGATTTCCTGTAGTCTCCACGCCCGCAGAATTTCGCCATCGCGGCGAGGCCGTGCGATGACACAAGCTCGAAGTGCGAGCTGGATGCAGCGCAGTTGCCTGCACTGCTACTGCTGAGCCTGAGCTGCAGGCGGGCGAGTATGGCGAGAGCAGGATTTGCAGCCAAGCAGGCTTGCCGTTGTGTCGCCTGGGATTTCTGCCCTCAGCGGCAGAAGAGCAGCAGGAAGCACCCCTGCGCTTTCACTCTTCCCAAGCGAAGGCGATGGAAGCCGCCGCGTCACAGGTGGGAGGTTATTGGGAGGTTTGTCGCCGCAGCAAAAGGGTCTGTATGATTCTTCGCGGAAGGGTGCAGGTGGCCGGGCGAATCTCGCGCCGGCACTGCACTCTCTGTCTAGAAGGTGGGAGTATCTCCCGAACGAGTCTCCGGCTTTGAGCCTGAGGAGAAGCAGAACAACATGCAGCAAGCAAGGCATCGTAAGCCTTCCGAAGTCTCGCGAGGTTGCGAAGACGACCCCGGGAAGAGCAAGGCCACAGTTCACCGCATGCCCGGGAGCATTCCTCGGGCAATGGAGCCGTTAGCCGTAGCGCACTGCTCTGAGCCCTGCATGGCTCACATCGGGCAGACAGCGATGTGGGCCACGGCTTGTGTGCAGCGCGAATGTGCGGGCTATGCTGCAGGCTTAGCGGTTTCGCTGCTGCTGCTTTCCGTCTGCCGAGCCTGCTTGGGCGAGTGGCTCGTGTGCCTTCGCCTCTGGCCCTGGGCACTGCGCGAGACTCCGACAGTCTTCGGATCGTGATGCGACGCCGGGGGCCCAGCACTGAAAGTGTTAGCCTCTGCTAGTGGCCCTGATGCCCTCGGACTGTCCCAATCGCGCCTTTCTCAGATGCCGTGCACCGCCTCGGGCTGGGAGTCCTGCGGCAGCATTGACAAGCAAAGGCGCAGTGCGAATCACAGGAGGCTCAGGACTTCCGTGCAGGCCGTGCAGGCGCCTGCAGCCCAGCTTGCGCTGCCTGCGAAGGCTTCAAAAGTCCCCGCATCTAAGTCGCCAGCTTGCGAGTGCGCTACGAGTTTAACTTTAGCACATGCCGCATGCAAGAACAGCAAACGCCGCGGTGGCCTCGCAGGGCATGTGCATGCCGCCCCGCCCTGCGTGCGAGTCCGAGGTCGAGAACTTGGCTTCTGTGCTGGGCCACACGAATCCGCTTACTCTGACCTAGCTCTTCATGTTCATGGGGCTGGCAACCGCAGGAACCTCGTCGCCCTTTCTTCCTGCCCTCGCACACCATATGCAGCAATCCTGGCACAAGGCTTTTGGGCTAGCAGCCTTGTGCATCCTAGGTCCAGCATATTCAGGGCCCGCGTGGTCGCACCATGTGCCTCCATTGGCTGCCACATGAGGACAAACAAGAAAGGGGGGTGGCTGCATCTCCCTCTTCAGAGAGCCCCTGCCGAGCTCACAGGCCTGGATTGTCAGGCCTCCTGCGCTGACTGCGACAGCCGTCTGTGAGCATGGCCTTCTGTAGCCACGGCCCCTTACAGAGCCAATCTCTTCGATCGATGCCTCTGAAGCCAATGGGATGTCCTACTCAAGCATGCAAGGCAAAGTTGAAGCAGCAGGTATGAGCACCCGCCTGGCAATGGCTCAGACTTCAAGAGGCCCCCATCCTCAGCATCATCTTGGTCTGATCGTGACATGCACTCATGGACATCCTGGCAGGCCTCCATCTGATTCAGCCAGAGACGGGCCTATGGCGACGGCACAGGGAATGACTTCAGATGCCATCCTTCTTTGCTGTGAAGCTGGATGGAACGGCCGGGAAATGCCTCCGTCATGGAGGCTGTCCGCTGGCGGCGTCGTGTTGAGGGCGCTCGGAGCGAGGAGCTGGAAAGCCCGGCAGTGCGTGCCTGCTGTGCCTGCTGTGCCCCGTGCATGTTGTGGTGGCGCCCTGGCCCTGCAGACGGTGCTTTGCACAGCGTGCGTGCATCCTGCCTGTTCTGGGGTTGTGCTGTCATGCGAGGAGTCCGATGTCCTGATGACGAGCAGCTTCCACCACTCCGTCTGGGGGCTTTGCACAGGCGGATGTCTGGCGCCCCCCAGAAAGTCAGCACGTGCCATGCTGTCTCGATGCACTTGTACCCCAGAAGCGCCGCGGGCCCGAAGCCGAAGCCGCCGAAGCAGCCAGCATTTCCACTAGATTCCCCTTCAGAGAGCCCCGCCATGTCTCGAGGAAGTGCGAAGTGCTCCGGGCCCAGGCCACAATCCCTCCTCGACACATCCCTCCTTGACGACGTTTGCTCGGCACGACCCCTTTCGAGCCCTAGAGGCCCTATAGCCGCTTGCAGGCTGACGTCCTGCGCGTGAGACACCTGCAGTTGCAGCAGCACTGGCAGTTCCCTTCGATGCTTCGTATTGGTTTTCCCGCCACCGTTGCATTCTGAGGCCGGCCAGGCCTGGTTGTTCAGTGTTGGTGATGTCTTGGGCAGCGTCTCCTGTCTTGCTTGCGAGCCGCGACGCCTGGCACGGTCCAACTGCTTAGAGATCGAGTATGACGCTGGGCTCAGTCGCCCATCCCGCAGCTTGCGGGGACGGGCGCAGCTTCGGGCATCCACACGGGAGAGTGCCAGTCGCAAGTGCAGGCAGATCATCTGCGTCGCTACGTGAGGTCGCCAAAGCCGTAGCAACCAGCCAGCGATCTCCCAGTGCATTGCAATAGTAGGGCTTTCTGGAAGCACGACTTCTCGGATTTCGTTGCCAGGTCCCGGGACAAGTACACGCATTCCGGTCTACGACACTGCCGTTCTGGAGGGTTTTTCTGCTGTGGTGCATGAGACGATTGTCAAGCGAAGCCTTCGTCGCAGCGGCTTTGTGTCGGTGCAGCTTGCCTGCGAAGCGTTGTCTCGTGCTCGCCTTGCGTGCCGTCCCGGCTCAGAGCCCCGCAGCGGTGAATCGGTGCCTCTGGCAGTGCAAGTGCAAATGGTCCCCGGGATAGTTGGGAGGATGAGCACAGCGGCACACAAGCTCCCCTACCAAGGAGCCCAGCCTACACGTGCCCTTCCTTGCTCCGGAATGGTGCTGCGGGTTCACCAAGCCATGGAGACCACCAGCCCCACCATCCTTTCCATGGCTCCAATGTGTGTTTCGGCATGGCCCCACATGCCTTGCCCGGCGCACGCTTGTGGCTTGCGACCCCGTTCTCAGCTGAAGTCTTGGATGCCCGAACGGATGCGCAAATGAAGCTGTGTCCTATGGCTTCTTGATTGTTGGGAGGAAGCGCGACAAAGTCCCTCCAGCGCCGTGCACACAGCTGCGCCAGTTGCACCTCTCCTGCATCTCGTCCTGGGGCGAACAGTGCTCGTGCGCACTGTTTGTGGACACTGGCCTTGTCTCGAACCTCACCCCTGCCAGCCGCAGCAAGCTTGCATGTTGACCGTGCCGATTTCTCAGCGTGGGTTGGTGGTCTGTTAAGCAGCTGTTTCGGCAGACTCACCTTATGATCAGTGTCGAGATCGTTTGTGGGTTCGGAAGCGGAAGCTGCAGTTGGCGAAGTCTGACTGAGTCTAGAAGGGCGTGTCGATTCGGAAACATGTGAAGGTAACAGCACACGACTGACTGCCTTCTGTCCAGCATCGGACATCCAGTAGTGTTGCAAAACGCGGAATGTCGACTCCCATCGACGAGGCTGTGCTTCTTGAGACCACTACATAATGTTTACCTCGCTGCTCAGGGGCTTCCTACTTGTTCCAAAGTTCTTGTGTCCTGTGTGGCTTCGCAGTGACTCCTCGCCGGGGTGTCCTCTCTTGTGCAGTGAGGTTTGCGAAGGCTCCCGTGCCGTGCTCATGCCGCCTTACGCTGCTCGTCAGCAAAGGCGACCAGAAGGTGGGGCAACTTCTGCAGATGCTCTCCGTGCTCGGCAAACCAGGGTCTTGGTCGCGAGTGCTCAGCCCGGAAGCCGTGGTAGCGCAGACTTCAGGGCCTTCTTCAACCTGTGCTCTAAACCGTCTGCAGGCTGCTTCGGTCATGCTGCCACAGGTGTGGACATGGCAATGCCCATCTCAAACTTGCCATCTACAATCCAGGTAGCCTGCCTTGCAGGTGGTAGCTGGGGGAAGTGAGGGCTTGTGCATGCCACCTCTCTGTTCGCGGGTAGCTGCGCACATCTCCTTGCCAGCCAGCCCGATCCACTCCGATTTAACTTGCTGAACCATGCGCCCAGGCCAGCCACACGCGCCTGCTTGATGCTGCTGTGCTCGTAGGCGTAGTTGCAACGGGCGTCCTTTGCGGGCTGCTGCGTGCTGCTGGACGGAAGTAGCAAAGCCTGCCCATCATGTGCCTCTGGAGAAGCCTCCTGTCCAGCGAGTGGCAGGAAGGTTGGACAAGCGCAGGGCAGAGTCCGATGCCGTTGCACGCCGACCCTGACAGTAGTTTCTTCAAGCTGGGACGGGCAGTGATGTCTCTTTGCATCTGTGAATGCGACGGCAGAAGGCTGGAGCAGCGTTCTCGCACGGGCCCTTGCCCCGAAACCTCTGTGGAATCCCTGGAGCTCATTCCTGCGTCTTTGAGCAAGAAAGTGTGGAACTTTCTGACCTGCCAACGCTGGACTCCCCGTGTCAGAGCAACTCCCTCTCCGAGCCGGGTCTAGTCTCCGCAGCTGCAGGTGTGTGTGGTGTGTGCTCGAGACTTGCCTGTCCGTCCGAGTGCATCGCTTTGCAGGGCCCTCCTGGCCAGTGTCTCGTCGTAACCAGCCCTTGGCTGGTGCAAACCCGTACGGGGGAATCACGGGCCAACGCCGAGGCCATCAGAGTGTGAAAGATGTGAAAGAACGGACAGATTCACGGGTATTTTTGAGGAAAGACTTCACCGCTTCATGCCTCTGTTCGCTTGTATCTGCGTCTCCGGTTCGACACCGACCACGGCAGAGCAGGAGTTGAAGCTCGCAAAGCCTGGGGCCCGAAACATCGTGAATTTGGCGTGAAAGACATGCACGACCCAAGCAGAGACGACGCTCCCTGGATTCAATAACACTCCTATCTGCTGAGAAGGACTGTTTGCTGGGGGCCACCGCTTTGCAGCAGCAAAACTGATGATGGCAAGGCGGGACCCTCGACAATTGTCGCTCGTCCGGGGGGTTGAGGCACGCGGCTTAGCAGGGCAACGTGTTGTAAGGCACGGCAGTGCGGCGGCGGCTTGTGTTTTCTTTGCCAAAACCGTTGCTTGTCGCTGCGGTGACTGTGGTGCCTTTTGATGGAACGTGTGAGGGGTACGCCGGGTGTTTCAGAGCTGCTGGCAATCTTCTCTTCAACCGCATGGGACATCTCGCCAGCTAGAAAGGAAGATCAAGTCGCCGCTGCTCGCAGGCTTTCCGAAATGCACGTCCTCGTAGGGTGTCGTGTCTACTCAACTAGGATTTTGCGTGCTCGATTTGTGGGTTGTCTCCAGCTCTGATTCCGCACGGTGGGGTGCAGCGGCACCGCAGAACCCTCGCGCATTCTTTGCGAATGCGAGTGAGGCGCGACGTCCGTCTCATCTTGGCATCGAGTCTCAGATTTGAGAGATTCGGCGGGGCCTGGGCTTAGATGTGTCATTGCAGGCATTGGTCTGCCGGCCGAGCAGGGGCTGGCGAGTCTTGCTGCCACTGGCACGCTGTCAGGAGATCAGCGGGAGCGAAGGCATGCACATGAGAAAGGGCCGCAGAGAAGCATCACCAGCTACCGTTCCCAGAGCCTAGGGTGTGCCTGTGCTTGGGTCCCGGGTCCCATCCTTTCAATCACTTAGACAGCCTTCGCATCTCACCGTCCAGGTGTGCGTCGCCACAATCGCAACCGCACATCTCGGAAACACGCCGGCATAGAGAGCTTGTCGTCACCTGTGTCCGGAGTGGAGCAATGGTCAGCAGAGTTGTTGGGGAATGGCTCCCCAGCTTTGCGCTCGCACCGCAGGTTTGCAGTCATTACAGATGCACGCTTGCTGCTCGTGGCCACGCCACAAAACTCCATCCATCAGGTCCGCTGAGTGACGCGGCTGTCGTCACGTTCCGTCCGAAACTTTGACCACGATGAGTGGGTGTATGTCAGCATGTTATCAGGCTGAGAGACCGGCAGCCTAGGCAAAGCCGACGAGACATCAGCCACTGGCCGCACATGACACCGGCTCTTTGCACGCGTGGGAAGTCAGACGCAACTGCGTCACGCCTTGCCTGGATGCAGTCCAGGCCTCCTCTCAGCTTCCGTCACACGCCTCGAGTTTCCTCCTGCGGACCACATGCTGCAGCTCTGGCCACAAGGCTGCAGACGGGCTGCTCATCGACATCATCCTTTGGAAAGATGTGAGACACGCAAATACGTCCGCTGGACGACTGCCGGAGAATGAAGCTGCGCTGGCCCAGGCAGCACGAGTGCCTGCCCACCGTTTGAGACAGTGCCCTCCTCAGGTCGTTCCCTCGTCGAAGGATCTGGTGCAGAGGGGCTAAGGTTCCCAGCTCGTCCGCGCATCTCTCCGATGCCACGCCTTGCAGTCTGCATTGTGTTGTAACGCAGCCGGACGTGAGCCCGCCGTAGGGAAGAGACTCCAGAACCTAGTGCCTGTGGCAACAACAAGATGTGTGAGTTTGACACATGCTCCTCCGACCTCTTCCTTGCCGTTCTCCTGCGGAGCGGAATGTTTCCAGTCGCGTTCGACCACCTTTGCAACATGTTGCCTGCATCGCAGGCAGGTTAGAGCAGGCTTGCTTTCTAAGGCCGTGCTGCCAGGCTGATCCCATCCTGGTTTTTGAGCGATGCAGCTGTTGTCACATGCCTTGCGGGGCACGGGTGAGCCAGCGGCAGGGCCCAGAGCCGCCGACGCACAGACACAAACATGCCGCGCACGATTTGGGCTTTGGGAGGTACAAGACTCCACGGCATTCGAGAGCATTCAAGTCTCAGCAAACCGCTTCATTCGGCTTCTCGCGGTCATGTTTGACAGGCTCGAAACTGCAACCTGCAGCCGTTTGACCGGAGATCGGCACTATGCAAGCTGAGAAATAGTCAAGCAGATGTCACGCGTCTTCACCCATGACGCTGGCGAAGAAACGCTGCAGAAGTTGCACACCCACTCTTGTGCATGCATGTGGTAAGGTCCTGCGTCGTTCCTTGCCTTCGCAGTTTGCCCAAGTACCTTGACCCAACGTGTACCATCCAAAAGAGGCTTCACCAGAAAATGCACCAAATGCACAAGAACTCGTTTTTGACTATCCCCCATGTTGCACTTGCCCGAGTGAAGGAAGCAGACCTACACAAGCCGCATGCTGCAGCTCTGGCCGCAAGGCTGCAGACGGGCCTCTCATCGGCGGCATCGTCTTTCCGAAAGATGTGAGAAATGCAGATCTGCCGCTAGACGAGTGCTAGGGAACAAAGCTGCAATTGCACGTACAGCAAGAGAAGGCCACTCCGTTCGAGACAGTCTGCTGCTCGATCAGCAGATTTGGCTCCAAACCTACACCAAACCAAGCAAAAGCTTTTCTGAACACGATAAAACCCACCCAAACCCAGCCAAACCCACCCAAAACCTTCTGGGTACAAGTACTTAGGAATTGTTGCAAGCTGAGCCGGCTGGCCCGTTACTGACACCTCTTACTAAGAGAGCAGAGGTGAGCGTGTCTTCCGCCACATCTTCTGTGACAATGCTGCAGGGCTGGTTGCAAGGTCCGGTGTCGTTCTTTGCCTTTGCAAAATGCCCTGCCTGGACACTTCTCGGAAGCCTCGCCGCGCAGCAGTGTTGTACCGTACTTGCCGGCGGAGTC